GGCGGCGCCACTGCTTGAGTGCCTGGAACACAACACACACACAGACTAATATCAGAGGCTGGCAGGAGTGGGGGGAAAAAAGCACATTTTTCATCATTTCAAACACATCTTGTGGAATGAGTAACACCAAAAGGGGGGCGGGCAGCAGCCTGTGCCAAGCTTCCTGTGCTGGTTTACGTACTGTAAAGAGAGCATCGTCTTTAAACAGAACCTCGTGTTGCGCTAGGAGTAATTAATACTCAAATATTAGTAACTAATCACTTAGCCTAAAGGCTCCCTTTTGTGAAGAAGCCAGTGCCATTTTGGCAGTCAGAGCTCTTCTCGATCTCCAGCTCGGTGCCTGGCTTCGTCAACTGCCTGCCGACAAAACACCCTCCCAATGGGCTATGCTGCCTAGGCTTCCTCGTTGAAGATGCCTCCTCTCCTTTAGGCAGCTTTAAACCCCTTCTCCTCGATGATAAACATCAGCGAAATCGTATCTGGCTAAAACGCCTGAGATTTGCACGGGGTCACCAGCAGGGTTTTTCACGTGGAGAAGAGCCGGCAGATTCGGGACGCTGTGACGGGAGAGCTGTGCTCTCAGCAGGGCTGGGGCAGGAGCCGGAACGCACTGCCGTCCGCTTACCGTTCCAGAGAAGAGGGACACAACAAAGTTTAATTGTAGTCACATAAACTTTGCAATGTAAACTAAAAGGAAACACAACAGGTGATTTCTGGATTTTTTTTTACAGTTATCCACACTTTACAGCACGTACCCAATGCAAACTATTTTCCATTTCCATTCCTGGACTCTTGCTTTCAGCACAGTCTTCATAAGCGGAAAAAAAAAATTAACTCTCAAAATGTATCGTCTGAGAAAGCTCAGCCCAAAGCTTGTTGACATCAACGCAACGAGCCAGAATGACCGAGGATTACCGAGCTCCCGACGAGGACGTCGTACCGAGAAGCATGTGCCAGCCGACGCCGGGTGCCTCCTTTTGTTCGAACTAGTAACGCTATTGTCTCACGCTCGCCACGGCCTCTACACCAGATCTGTCTTTCTGCTCACTACCAGCGATTTCCCTGAAAATAAGCTCCGTAGCTGAGCAAGCATGTGCTGTTTTTCAAACTCCCAAACTGAAATTTAAAAGGACCAACAGCTGCCAGCACAAGCACAAATCTCTCCTAACCCATCTTCTGTTCCTTTATAAATTTGTGGAGACTATAACTCATGTTTTATTTCCCCACATATTAATAACAACGAAAGTTAAGGATGCAGGTTACATACGATTTTGTAACGCCTGCCTTGGGTAAAACTGAAATGTCAATCAGGTATGCATATTAATAGTAGAATTAAATACTTGGCAGTGTCGGGTTGGTGAAAACTGCACTTTAATTTCAGCTTAATGAGCACGGGGGAGCAGACACCCCAAATAACCTTCCATTCAGCTGTTGCAGCTTCCCTCTTCCTCCAACCGATTTATTTAGCGCGTTTCTATCCCAGCGGAGCCTGAGCCTTCTGCAGAACGTAACTTGCTGCCCCATCAGTCACCACTTCTCACACCGAGAACACCTCTAACAGGACCCTCTGTGGCTGACTGCTCTTTACATTCGTGTTAGAAGGAAACTATTTCGCCCACCAGGAGAACTCCGGTAACAAAGCCGTGAATATTCTTCCAGTCCGTGGTACCATCTTACCTTCCCCTCCAAGCAGTCCCTTTTAAGTCACGGCCTGATAGGTCACACTCTTTGAAAGAAATGTTCCAGCAGCAACAGCTTTTTTTTGCTGGCGTTTTTTTCTTATTTCATTTCAAAACACAGAGCCCTCCCCTCTCCTCTTCATAGCCAGGGCTGGAAGTCACCTAGGTTAAACTCCTCCCATGACTTGGTACTACAGATCGGATGAGACAGACACACGGCTAACAGTGTCTTCCAAGAATGTTTCTTTACTGAACTCGGAGGTTTGGGCACTTCTTTTTTGTGGGTAAGTAAAATCTTCCACAGAAGATTAAAAGTAAAGCAGGAAAGAATAACTGAGATCTAATGAGCTGAAGAGGATAAGCATATGCTGCTGCTCTACAGCAGCAGAGTAGATGCGGGTTATGACAGCATGAACATGAGGCAACTGTGAAAAGATTTTTTAAATTCAACAAGTATGAGTAGTTTCTCAACCTTATTTTTACACAAAATGCAGCACAGAAGCAGCACAATGGTATCTGAAACTCGTTCTCTTTCAATCTGGACTACATCAGCAAGATAGCTGAACACTTTTTATTTGAAATCAGCCCACTCACATTTTCAGGCTGAAGTACGCTGTAGAAAGTACTACCGGAACTTCCTCGCTGTGCTGACAAATCAGACACCAATTAAAAATTTACTCTCAATGAGCTGTCCAGAAACGCACCCAGATTTACTGAAAACGCTCAGTAAAAGTAGTGGTACAGATTGCACATGCAATGTCTAGGAAAATTTAAAGCCCTCTGATATCTTAGATAGGCAAAGACAGCATGGCAAATTTAAATAGTTTGTCAAACGTGGAATGCCCTACCAGAGCTCCTAGAGAAGGAATAAAGTGGTTTAATGACCATCTCATACCTGGGCAGACGAGTGATGGAATTTTTCTGCCCCAGCCTGTATTTTATTCATTCTTTTCATAACTGTAAGCCTTTTTGTGGTAGCTAACCTTGTTTTCTTGCTTATGGCTATGAAATGCGGCCAGCCCTTTCACCAGCTGCTTACTCCGCGTAACTGGGCGACAACACAGCTTTTATTACAAGGTGTAGCTTTTAGCACCAGCAAGACAATCCTCAGGCCTGACACCTAGTATGTTCATTCTGTTCAAATGTGTAACAACATAGACTCCTTTCACACCTTGTTTTTATTTGTAACTTTTACCAGCAATGCACAGTGGAAGCTCCTCAGAACTTGCGAAGAGGGTTTACTAGGAAGAACACAGATGCAAGCGTACGAGGAAAACCCATCGCCACCACGAGTGTTGTTTCAGAGGTGCAAGAACAATCACACAGTGTAAAACGTTTCATAATTTCACTTTACTCGTAAGACATAGCCCAAAACGCTACAGCTGTCCTGAAGAAGTTTCTTCGATCCAGAGAGATCACAGGAGTCCTCCTTACTGTTTTGATAAATTAGGTAAAAAGCCAAATTTCTGTGTCACTGTAATTTAATTTCTGATTCTCTTCCCTTCTGGCTGGACAAATCCCACATTCCCCTGTGATAATTTTCAGTGTTACAAATGCTAACGTAACTGAGAACATAGCGTGGTGTTTTTGTTTTGTTTTTTTTAAACTGAACTCTGCTCAGTAAGCAATTAGTGTCTCACAATCCATTAAATTACTTCTCAGCTGTGCTGTTACAAGACAGCAAGGGCAGGAATGGTGTGTTCTGTATCTGACGCAGCAATCCTGCTTCAGATACACCTCCTCTGCAAATCTGATGGAAATACGTATAAGAACAAGAAGTCAAAAGCTTACAACTCCAGCAGAACGGGCTAAAGGTTTACACTTTGAGTTTGGTATGTTCTGCCACATTTAGCATGTCACATCAACTCTCCTGTTGTTCTCCAGCAGGGAATGTTGCATCTTAAAACCAGAGCATTAAATACTACCAGGAAATTCTTGAAAGAGGGACAATGTTGTAAGTCTTGTGTCTTTTTCTGGAGTTTGATATGGAATCCTTTAGACCAGGCCAAGACTGTAAAGAAAGAAAGCCTAAATATCGATTCACAGCCTAAATAACTTGCCGCAGATGACAACCAACACTTTTCAGGGCAGTCAAAGCCCATCACTGCCGCCAGCAGGAGCTTGCTCCTATTCAGGTAAGATGCTTAGACAAGGATGTGAGAGTCAAACTATGTTATGGGTACAGTGTTGGCTGCTGGTACTAAGACTTGTAAAATTCCTGCTTTATAAAACATAAACACTAAACTGATCCAGGTCAAGGGAATCATCAAGGCAAAACTGAATTCCATGACCGGTTCTGCAGAGTTCATGTTCCCTTACCTCTGAATTCTCATTCGGTAGTATTATGCAAGCAACAGTCATCCGTAATTAGCAAACATGCAGTGTTTGTTATGCTTTTAAAATGGGCTATTACCAGAAAACTGGAAAGGTATTAGGTTGTCACTGTTCATATCCTGTATTAATAAAAAGCTCATCCTTCCTGTGAAGGAAGTATCCACTTTATAATATAGCAATACTCTGAGGAGCTCAGAGAATATTGTAGTCTGCCTTTTCTCATTTAATGCAGATTACAAAAAGACCATGTAGTTACTTAAGCACAAACCAGCAAGGGAGAAAAGAGTAATAATTTAGCATGCTTTAACAGGAAAGGAATACCAAGTTCGATGAGAACTACAGTATAATTAATCTTTGATAATATGTGATTATCACTGTAGGAATTTTGGTAAAAAGAGCACTAGATCGGAACCTACAAACTGCAATATGGTGTATTTAATCAAGATAATAGATCACAGAATCTGAATATTTGAAACACAGCATCTGCAACAGCAGTTTATTACTGGTCCAAATTACAGCATTTGCTCAACACTAAGAACAAGGTGGCAAATCAAAAATGATTTAAAAGCCTGTCACTTTCTGCAATATGCACACGTAAAAGGAGTCTAAAAATATCTGCTCTGCAGACCATTTAAAAAATGACATATGAGCACACACTCACAAAACCAGTTACAGTCTGGATAATCTTGTTCAAATTAAGAACAAGAAGCTCTAACAGCAGCGAATATGATCAAGGATACAACTAAATCAAAACAACCTGAGGGTGGTTTTTAGAAGTCAGCACAAAAAAATTCAGACACAATGTCCATGAGGGATCACTCCTCCGAAGCACAAACATGTCTTTGTTGGAAGTGATGAAAGAATTACATCGGAAGAATGAATGAAATTAGTGGAGATGAAACAGAATGTAACTTACATTACTAAGAAAGCACATGAAATCTTACAATAATCAATTTAGAATTACTTTGTAACACATCTTCCATATAAAAACTGAACAGATAGATAGATAAGCTCCATTCTGAAGTTACAAAAATTAGAAAAGAGCTCCTGCGTTTGTACAGATTACATAAGGTGTTCTCAAGCAAGGTTTAGATTTCTATGACAGTCTCTTCAGGGCAATCTTCATTCCTTGAATTCAGCCTGCTGAAGTTCTTCTATCCTGCCCAAATATCCGAAGAACGTTTCTTCATTCTTCATGTTACACTACTCAAGCCCCTTCACACCTATTTCCCCAAGCAGAGTCCTCGTGACATACTTCACGATGCTGTCAAACAAATCTTTCTTCCACCTTCTTATCTCAGCTTGGAGAGCCACGGCACGGGAATGTTTAACGAGCACTTTGAGGAATTCGTGAGAAACCAGCCACACGATCAGCCATCTATTCAAACTGCTAAACCGTACACTTGCGAACATGAGGTCCTTTAGTCTGAAGCATTTGATTTCTCTTGCCTGCACTTTCCCACAGCTAACTGAGGGTGATGCTCTACCTACTCATTTACTTGGTCCAGTTCATTTGCCTCCGACCTGCGTAAGACTGGAGGCCAGGTACTAAGGCTACATTTAAACTGCCAAGCCTGCAAGCGCTTCTGGGCTCCGGGATGCATAAGCAGACTGCATCTCATGTCCGCACACGTGGTGAAACCCTGGCACACTCCATTTCCCATGCTTTGACTTCCCTAGGAGTGAAACCTGACACACAGAATGAAAAGGAAGGCAGGAATGACGATGCAGCCTGGCCAGCTCTTGAACTCAAGGATGGGGAGGGCAAGACTTCAAGGGACACTTCTTTGCTATCTAGATCAGCATGAGGGGCGGAAAACATCACCTATTTCACATTTTTATTCCACCCTAGGCAGAGATCAAATCTGGACTCTCACATGAAATTGGTAAGTGAATCAAAGTGGTTTTAAGAAGACAGTTTCATTTGTGTTAACCTACTGCAAAGTTTTAAAAGCAAAGAAACTGATATTAATCTTTTATCTTTTATAATGTAAAACATTATAATCTGTTTCTTCTAGTTTTCTTGTATCTTGTATCAGATTGTGAACAGTCCCCCTTAATTCCAAAATGCCATGATGGAAGGATTTCATGTAACATCTTGATTATAAATAACAATTTCTTAAAGTAAGACACTCATCCACAGAAAATGCTATTACTTAAGTAAAGACACAGATATCTAAGCTATTGCTTCAGGACTACTCCATAAGCTCACACATGCAAATCTTATAAAAACTCTATCCCCCTTGCTGATGAGACTGAACGTCAAGAGAAGTTGCTCTGCCCAACTTTATCTGCTTCAATTACTCGGTAAAAAAAGTTAGTAAAAACAAAGGTATGTTCTTGATCTTCAGATTTATCAAATTCAAGTTCGTTGAATTTGTAAGAATGAAAAAAAAGCTACTTTCCAAGTAACTAATGTGGTTATATAATTTACTTCACTCTGATCTTAATTTTGTAAAACCTTTTTCTTATGTGTATAGCAATACAGCAAACTGCACAGTAACTTAATACATTCCAAAGGCGTGGAATAAGAAGTTCAAGTTATGCCATACAAGACGTAGTACCATGAAACTTCAAAAATCTGGTAATACTGTATTGCACTTACAAAAAGTGTAACTATCACCAAAAGGTGATTGTCTTAAATGCAGAGTCTGATAATCCTCATCACTACAATTTTCTCCCAATCCATGTTATCATCATGGAAATTTTTTTTATGCTTTTCTCTGTTTGCCAAGTGTCCAAGACACTCTAAAACAATTAGCTGCTGGTTTTGCATATCTACCTTGCTGCCTTGATAGGTTTTAAAAAGCAGACTGGTTTTCAGAGAGAAGCAGCTCTTCACTTTTTGAAAAAAGCCTTTTAAGAGGGTCTTATTTCGAGTTTCCAACATGAAGGATCCAAAAATCACTGGTGATGACTGGAAAATTTAGCCATCAAATCCAATAGAGCAGTAAGCTCTCAGGAAGACAAATCTCTGGTTTTTTTCAGTGTACACTGTAAAATTCCAGGCAGAAACACACTACAACAAAATTAGCTTTTTCATTCACTTGTTAGGCTCTTTTTTAGAGGTCTGAATTCCCATAAATGTAATAAACTCATTAAAATTTATAAGAAACAAGTCTCTTGAGTATATTCTTGACACTGACCCATAAAAGGCCATACTAAAATAAATATTTAGCAGACCTCAGTAACATTAAACAATATGCACGCTCTTTAAAGATCTGACCAAGTTCTTCTCATAGAACAGAACAGAACAGAACAGAATAGAATAGAATAGAATAGAATAGAATAGAATAGAATAGAATAGAATAGAATAGAATAGAATAGAATAGCAAGAAAACATAGAATCATAGAACAGAATCATAGACTGCTTTGGGTTGGAAGGGACCTTTAGAGGTCATCTAGCCCAACCCCCCTGCAGTGAGCAGGGACATCTTCAACCAGACCAGGTTGCTCAGAGCCCTTTCCAACCTGGCCTTGAATGTTTCCAGGAATGGGGCCTCCACTGCCTCACCAGGCAACCCGTTCCCATGTTTCGCCACCCTCACTGTAAAAAATCTATTCCTTATATACAGTCTAAATCTACCCTCCTTTAGTTTAAAACTGTTACTCCTTGTCCTGTCACAACAGTCCTTGCTAAAAAGATTGTTCCCATCTTTCCTATAGACCCCTTTAAGTACTGGAAGGCTGCAGTAAGGTCTCCCTGCAGCGTTCTCCAGGCTGAACAGCCCCAACATTCTCAGCCTTTCCTCATAGGAGAGGTGCTCCAGCCCTCTGATCATTTTTGTGGCCCTGATGGCCATTTTTGTGGCCATCATACAGTGAAGAGTAATTTATGAAAGATATCCAAAGTTAGCTTGCTTTTGCTAGTCAAAATATTATTTTGCAGTATTTAAATAAGGTAATATACAGTTACAAAGGTTTCAAAACCTGTAATACTACAGGGCTGAATAAAAACTTTTGCTTCTTCATTTTATTAAAATAATTTATTCCATACATAAATAGTATACCATATTATCAGATTTTAAAAATACACTAAAAAAAATGCTGTTTCTCTGTGTGTTAATTTTATGCACGTAATAGTTAAATCTAAAACATAGTTCATATGTCATACAGATGTTTTGTTGTAAGTTTTTTTTATGGCCTCAATTTGTTAAAAGTAGACAGCATTTCATTCTGTCCTGAATTTGTAACTTCAATGTTACGTCTTTTCTGTTTCTTCAGAAAACAGATCTTCAGTAATAAAAAAAAATTACTGCTCCTTCTGTAGAAAATCAAGCCTCTAAAAATTATTTAAAAGCCAACAGAAAGGCAGAAATTTCAAGTTCAGAAAAATCTGCTTTACTTTCCAATGAACTGTAAGTCAGCAGCAAGATCAAAATCGTATTTTAAATTCAGGGAACAATGAACTGAAGAATACATACAAAAATGAACTTACCAAGAAGTGGAATAGCTTGGGTGACAGGAGCAGGTACATTAGTAGGCGCTACAGGAGGTGGAACAGTCGCATATATTTTAGAACTATCGGTAGTTTCAGCATTGCCTCTGGATCCAGAAACCACTGTTGGGATGGGATTTCCTACAGATGAATCTTTTGTAGTGTCCTCATTTACACCAGTTGCTGTAGCTAAGAAACAATGCATTGACATATTAAACAAAGTCAGCTTTTCTGCTTGCACGATACCTTCCTTCTACTGCTGCTTGCCCAAGATTTAAACACTTACAATTTGGGATGTTTACTGCCGGAGTGTGAGGAACAGATACTGGAGGAGTTATCGGTGGTGGCGGTCCAGGAGGAAGAAAGCCTATAAAAAAGTATATATTAACATTCAGTATCACTTTATCAAAACATATGTGTGCAGTTTATATGGCAGATGCTTTTATTTACTATATGGTTGAAAAAATAACTTAATATTTCTAAAAACATATAAATATACCTGGGGGTAAATGCATTGGGTTGAAACCAGGTCGTAAAAATGGAGGTGGTGGTGGCGGTGGCACTCCAGGAGCAAATCCAGGAGGTGGGATTCCTAAAGGTGCTGTGAAAGCAGGTGGCTGGAGTGCACCAACCACAGGAGGACCTGATGGATGTGGTGGAACCTAAGAAAAAGGGAAAGGGAAAAATGTGTTACCTGAAGACTGAATGGATTATTTGTTGGTGGACTGCTGTCTTCTGCGCTTTGTCCATCAAAACAAGAAAATTTAAGCTACCTTGTATCACTCTGCAACAAGGTGACGTGCATGACTGATCTAATTAGCAGTCAAAGAACTCCTACAACTTAAAGTATCAACATTTGTCTTGTTTGCCTTTGTTCTTAAAGGAAAAATTACTCTCCATGGTAAATCGATATTAATGCATGCTGGTAACCCATCTAAATATATCCTTTACACAGTAGCTTGAATCAGTTTTACCACCCAGCATGAAACACTATAATGCACACAACTTCAGAGCAACTAAAACCCTTTTTTTTTCTTTTTTTGCTACCTGAGTTTGTATATTATGAGTGACTACTTTTTCCTTATTCATTTATTTTTTTTAATTCTGATTTATATGAAGCTCTGAAAGAAAACTGATTTAAATTAAATTGGTCCTTTGACTCAGATTTATGAGCTTATTATAAAAACTACATTAAATGTGTGGGAATCAAAAGGAAAAGTTTAAATCAAAATATGCTCTGCATTTTAAATTGATTTATTAAAGCAAAGGAGAGCTGTGTACTCAAGTGATCACAACTGACTCCCCTCCAGGACCATCAAAATTTCAGAACTACTATACCAAGACCCTTCATAACTCATTTTTTATTTCTAGAGTAAGGAAGGAAAAGCCTTTACTGCTTTATTCTCAGAACCAAAAGAAGTGGCGTTAAACCAAAGCAAGCAAAATACTCTCCTTAAACCTGGAGAAGCTGCTAAAGCTGCCAAGCACCTGATACCACTTCAAACTTCTGTTCCAAGTTCTCTACCAACAGCTAGGTTGGTGAGCTGAGGCACATTAGAACTTGAAGTTCAGAGAAAAGCAGAAATGAGCGCTGGGGACCTTCTGGGGGCTAGGACCTTGCAAGGCCAACAGCGCACATGTAAGCGTATCCAGGAGTACCATACAAGGCCAAAGCTAGCTAGATAACATTAACTTTGAGTAACCCTAGAGGTGTTTCCACCAATCATAGTTAAAACCTTAGAAAATATGCTCCAAACCCACAGTAACCTAATAGTCTCGGTAGGGCTTCTTGGTTGTTTTACAGGGCACTCCTTCAAAGAATGACAACTTACAAAATTAGCTAGACATAGTGACAGATCTGTTGATCGCAGTAATGTTCTGTGAAGCAAGTGTTCACATGCAGAGTGTGTATGTAGCAGAAGGAACTGAGGAGGGGTATCAAGAAGGCAAAAAGGTTTAAAAAAGAGGGGAAACTTGCTCAGTGCTGTCAGTCCTCAAGTAGTCAAAATCTGAGAAAACAGTGCATGAAGCATGTGTCTGCAATGGCTTGAGAATGTATAATGAATACTAAAATACTATGATGAAACCAGAACAGAAGTAACATCAAAGGAAGATGACTTAGATACATATTAGAGAATATTCATACCTAATTATTCAAGCTTAACTGCTGTACTTAATTTTTTCTAAAAAGTTAACCCTCTCATATATAACTAAGTAACACGTTAAAACCTTTCCTTTAAGCAGCAAGAGAAAAGGAATGCGGTAAAAGTCTGTGCATAAATGTCACAACATCTAATTTAAAATACTGTGAACACCTGGTATTTCACTAGCAGCTTTGGAAACTGGAATAACTAACCTCTCAGTAACTCTACTGCACAGACTGCCAGGTGCATCTCAATGACTATGTCTTGGGGTTTGGCCTGTGTCCAGTTACAACTATTTCTTACCGCACACATCTCAGACTTGACTTGAAGGAGAATCAGTGGCCCTGTGAACCAAAGGAGCATAGTCTACCTACAGTGCTACAAGACAAGTAAATACATATCTAAGTGCACCTGGGGTCTCTAGCAGGAAGACTGCAAATGAAGAGTCTGCCAATTTCTGTAAGAAGGGTACGGGATCAATATTGGACCAACGCACAACTCCCACATCTAGTTATACAGAGATGGAGCAAGTGGGATGGAGGAATACATCAGAAAATTTGGGAGGTACACACTCAACGTGAACTCTGGTTTCTGGCTGAAAACCCATTAAATAAAGGAACTTTGGGTTGTATTGGGAAACTTACAGAAAGTGTGGCCACAGCAAACCCCCTGGACTTCACTGTATAGCCCTGGCAAAGCCCGAGCCATGGTTCACTGTAAAAGAACTGCAGTTCGGTAGGGTAACACCAAGCTCTGCCAGGAGAATGGAACACCAATTGCCCAAAACCTCGTCAATGAATGTGCAACACAAGTGGTATCACAAGTGCTATTAACTGAAACTGACTCTCAATAACGAAGAAATAGACTTAAGCTGGTCTTGGAAACTGCAATATGACTTAAAAATAATCACAGACCTACCCTCAGAGCAGACCACTGAGGTGGATTACTCAGACCTGCAGGAGTGGGACCAGATTCAGCAACAGCTGAGAGATGTGAATCTACAGGAACGAAAAGGGCTCACTCCAGCAACACAACCCAACCACAGTATTCCACCTATCCTGCCAACAACTCAGGACCCTGCAGCTGAGAAGACACCGGGTGCGCTACTGAGGCCAAAGAATCAGACTTGCCTACACAGGCTATCACTCTCAGAAGGACATTATTGATTTTAAGTGCCTTGCTACACAGAGGTTGCATTCATGGGTCAATGTGATACTGGCAACAACAGGAGGTCAGGCCGCAGTTAGTTACACCGCTCACAGGCAATGTCCAGCAGAGCAGGGCTCCATCCCTAAGTGTCTGGCCCATACAGGGGCAGGGGGTACAGAAGGCCCACTCAGTCTCTAACAGAGAAAGGAGTGATGCAGCTCCTTCCCATCCCAGCCTTACACGAGGGCTTGTTACGGCTGTGGGCAGATCACACAGCTGCTGACTAGGCCCTGGCCTGAAGTTAAGCTTCACGTGAAAGGTCTTTAGGGGCATTAGGGGCATGAGAAGCTACTGGACACAACATAAGAACCGGACAGACATGACAGATAACAATGTGAGAAGCTGACAAGTTACTGAGAGTGGCATAAGGGATGGCTGGATTTTGCAGGTGGTTAACAGGGTGCTTCGTGAACAGCCAGACTTCACAGATATCCAGAAAGGAGCACTAGCGATCTAACGGGGAAAAGGGTCTTCATTGTGAGGCCAACAGCGTATAGGTAACCATATGCGGGAACACCATACAAGGACAATATTACTTAGGCAATTGTATCATGAGAACAAATCTGAGTAGTGATGCAGCAGAACTGTGACCAATGTGAAAAAAAATAATTAGTGGAGAGTTGTTTACTTGGGAGGAGACTGGAGTGCAGAAAGAGGGAGAAAGCACAACAAAAAGGGAGGTCAAGAAGTGAGAAAAGAGTAAGTTATAGGAATCATGCAGGCAAAGCTGCTTGGGGTTATCTGTCGGGCAGCCCTATGCTTGACCACTGCAGCCTGAATCAGGAGAATGCACAAAGCCTGTTCTGACATGCCACACGCATCAAAGCTGCTTCTCCAGTCAGAGGGACCAGGGTGGGCAGGGTGCTTTCCAGGCTAACAGGAGAGCAGCTGGACAGACGGGTCGAGCAACCTGCTACCACTGTACTGATGCCCACTGCAGGCTGGACAGCATCAGCAGCTACCCAGCACTCACAATAACCTGCCCACCTCCTACAGTCCCCAACACCGAGGCCAAACACAAATGAAAGCAGTTCTGCTTGTATCAGAGGACAAAAATACATTAGCTGATTAAAACGCAATTACAAAGTTATTTAAACAAAAGAAGTGGAATATAATGAGCTTTTTTCTTTAGGTATTAGGTCATATTTGCATATTATAAAACATGTTACTTTTACTACCAACAGCGCTAACCTCACAGCTGAACTTAATTTGTAAGTTTTAAAAACTATTTACAAATTATTAAATTATTGTAATTTTATGGCCAGACAACTGAATTGGTCAAGTATAAGCCAGCATCCAAAAGTTCACACTGAAACCAAAGCTGAGGACTAAACACAGGCCCGATCCTGGCCTGAATTTGTGAAGACACAGGTTTCTTTGCCATAGTAAAAACTGATGCTGGCGAGACCGAGACAAGTAATCAGCACACTCAATATATTCTGAAATTTGTTGTTTTTTTCTTTACACTTTCTTTTCCAGCATGGATTTAAAGAAAATAAACAAAATCACTACTCTGTAATGTAGTTAATGGGTATTAAAAAGCTCTAAAATTAGAAATTTGACTTACATGTTCATTTACTAATAATACCTTACAGCATTTCAGGAATTCCGTGTCAAAACAATACAAAATTCAACATACAATGTTCTCAAATCACATAATTGGCTAAATTATACGTGTCTTCAAATAATCTGAGTTCTCGATCTCTTCTAAGTGTCTGCCATATTGTAGTTCATAAATCGTATTTTCTCAAGATGGGAAATAGTTTTATTCACACTTCCTCCAATTTGGAATAAGGTATACTACTATTTTAACAGTGACAAGAAAGAAACCATTACTATAAAAGTAGTAACGTGTCTGTCAGTAAGTAAAGCTAAAAGAAATATAGATTATAAAACACTGGAGGGCGTAATTATTACTACACGCTACTGAAACTACTGGTAAAATTTCAGTGTTCTCTCAGCAAATGAACATACAACACTAGCTTTGACTAAAGAACCATTATAACAACAAAGGAAGAGTATGAAAAATTTTATATTGAATTCCCAAAGGCTGTTCAAAGAGAGTGTACATAATATGAACAAACATGAGAGTAATGTGCATATTTTAGAAGGTCTATAGCTTATTTAAGCCAACAGTGAGGAAAATTAATTCCCAAAACAGGTAAAAAAAAAAGGCAATCACAAAACTGACAGGATGCGATTCAGCCCATTAGTAAAAAGAATCTACTGCAGTAATTTATCCAGGACTGAGAGAACAGATATTAGAAGTACAGTACTACAATAATTCAAATAAAGACCTGGCAGACACACATACATGCTGTCTACGTTAGCATTAGAGCAGCAACAAGGTTTTGGAGCAAATCCTCCATCATTCCCACTAACCACGTGCTGACTCAGTTCCCAGGGCTGTTCTGGTACATGCAAACTACATCCCTTTTCAGGGAAATCAAACCAGATTTCTCTGCTCCTCTGAGCACAAAACATGCTCCAAACCCTAATGGGTTCAGGTGTTTTCAAGCCTTTCATTGCCACTGTGGCTTAGCAGAAAAGGAATGTTCTTCTATGAGACAATATTGCTCTTTTATTTGAAGAAGCTCACACAATGGATTTCAGGCGCGTACTTGATTTATAGCACAGGAAAGTTATCTTCATAAATTGACAGCACAGCCAGTCTGCTAACAAGTGCATTTTCAACCAGAAGAGACAACAACATGTCAAACACATACAGAGAATCAACTAGTTAGCATTCATTGTGTTTCCTCCCTCTCTTTAACTCACGTATTGCCATACTGAATTATTATTTAAAGTAAGGTTTTGTTTAGCTATCTAGAGCAAATGAGAAGCAACTCTCACCTGTGGAGGAGGTACTGTTATTGGTGCAGGCATGGGAACAGGAATTGGAACAGGTAAAGCTTTAGGTATAGGTGACACTGGTTCATTATGTGTAGCTTCTGCACCTCCATTTTGAGCTACTTCATTTTCAGACTTCTTGGGAATCCCCTTCCATTCTATACAGAAAAACCCAAACATTCATGGATCAGCTCAGTAGAAGCAGACAGTCACGTACTACCACGTAAAACTATCATGCTTTGTGATGTTTACAAAAATGACATAATTGAAAATAATCAGATAATGAGAAGCACAGAGCTAAGAAGCATTTAAACACATTTCTGACAATAAAAATTCCAAATTACTTTAAACACAGTACAGCAAATCACCGAAACGTAGCAAGTAAATTTATTCCTTTCATTAATCATTTAACTATTCTTTGCACTGACAGCATTTATACATGCCCAGGACCCCAAAAAGACATTATCTGTAACAAAAACAGTAAGGCTGTTTTGGGACAAGCTTTCTCAAGCAAGACAGCAGCAGTTTTTTCATTAATTTGAGCTGTCATTTCTGAAGAAACATTTTCAACTCTTGAACAAGGAAAAGGAGGCTACAACAATGAAGAATCACAGCAAAATAAAGAGAAACATCGAATACAGCTTTAAACTCATTTTACAGAAGAAATATGACTCCTATTGTTTGTCAGAACTTCCTGGGAAAAGACAGCTAAGCAGAAAAAAGGGATCAGTTAAGAGGCATTACAGGAAACAGAAAAGCACTGAGAAGACTGCAACACACTGAGGTTATGTTTATCATTCATCAGACTTTCATTCAAAATACATGCTCAACTTATTTTTGTGTATTTATCATGAAGAGAGGATACTATTTAGAACAGCCATCGCCTAATTAGGGCAAACTGGACAGAATGACAAAACCCTGAAACAATGTTTCAATAACTAGGCAGCACACCACAGTGGTCAAAACCAAGACAGTAGTCTAGAGTACCAATTCAAAGAACTTAGGGCAATTTCAATTTTTAAGTACTGCATTCATTTAATATTACTTTAAAAATCACAACAGACAGCACACTAGTGACTCTATATTGATTTGAAGCCTGTAATTGATTTGAAGCTGCTGATTGTAACAGGTGTCATTTTCTTAATACAACCACAGAATGCCGATATTTTCATTGCTTACGTACAAAATATCAAGAATTCTATTAGGTCCCTAGAAACAGAAGACTTGCTAAAGGAACTGAAAATGTCACTAGTGTGAAAACTATAGGCACTTTTTTTAGAAATTATAAAGTTGCCATCAGCTCAGCTGCTACAGGAGTATTCCAAAGGCAGGCTCCTTTGCTAGGGGTGCCTCGCATATACGGGGGGGCGGGGGACACACACACACACGGACGGACACACACATGACACGACACCAAGCTGTCTCTGGGACTAACAAGTACAACACGCTTGCATCATGCATTGCCATCCAGGGCAAACAGCAGTGCAGCTGACATGTCACCAGGTATCCACCTGTGTTTTGAGCCCAGCCTCTCGTAACACAGCTGCACAACTCCTGATCAGGGATTGCCCTTAACTGCTTACAAACTCTCTTCGATCTACAGGTTACGCATGCTGCACTTCTTAGCCATTTCAAGGACTCTATATGCACCTCAGAGTCATGAAAGTCAGACACACCAACTTCAGTACACCAGCACAAAGGACAATTTTTTAAAAGCATTTAAAGATGTAGCACTATTTTACCTGGACTAAGAGTTTCATTGTCCAACATTCCTCCTTCACAGAAACTCTCAAGATCTTCAGGTTTCACTTTGTCCCATGGTATGTAAGTGACACCTAATTCTACATCCCAATACTGCTTGTAATCTGGCTTTATTCCTTTATTCAAAGCCCATGCAATCTCGGGGGGGAAAAATACACAGTCAGTAAAACGTTTCTATTTTAATGGATTTAACATTTAGTTCTCACAAAACAGCATTACCATTTGAGGCTAAAAAGCCAAATGAATATGTTAACTGAAACAGCAAGAAAAATAGGTTGGTTACAAATCTCTGAAACAAGAGGGTTTTTTAAAGCAGACTTAGACCTTCTTTCTTGGCTCAACTCTTGCATACAATTTGTGAAAATGTATAAAGGCAGTTTCTTCAAATGTTCCCCAGTCACAAAGATTAATTCTATTTCCCTTCAGAGGACAGTGTCACACTCTAATACAATGTTCTACAAAAGGAAGAACTTTACTAATGAACGCGTTCTTCCTTATTTATCAGTACTCTTTGTAGGATTATCATATATATAAACTCAGTTATATGGCAAATAATCAGCAACAAGAAAACCATAGTTACAGTCCGCTGTAATGACTAAAAGGACACCATTTTTGCTGGTTGAATAGACAATTACTGGCAGTCTTCCAAGGAAATTGACACAAGTTTCACTAGTCACATTACAGAACAGTAAGAATACTTCTAAAGAAAAAAAGTGGTTCGTTCACATAAATTTACAGAATACCATACCCAGACTACATAAAAGTCTGAAATATCCAAAAGACTAGAATAGATTAAAAAGGATTACAGTAATTACAGTAACTTTAGAACAGCCTGACATTTTCCAAGAAGTACCTTTATAGATTTCTGATTGACTTTGAAGTTTCCTCGGCTCAGTTTTTGTAGGGCACGGTAAGCATCTTGTCTGTGAACCATTACAATATAGGCACATCCTCTAGGCGGTATCATCTGTTTGTATTTTAAGAAAAATATTGTTTTTGCTAGCACATTAACAAAGTAATGAACAACATACGAGTGTTCAACTACAGCAGGCTGGAACATCATCAGATGTTTCAAAAAGGACTACGGAAATATGAAAGAGAATGTTCGTTTAAGAGGCTAAGATAGCCAGTATCTTCTGGAAATCCAGATTTCTAGTAAATTAAAAGCAACTTCTTATGTGGAAAGTTTTAAACTCTATTCCGTGTGAGAATATGGATGACTGTTGCACATTTAATCCTTTAAGACTGTTAAACAGTAGTGTTCATGTAAATGCTGTGGTCTGGCAATTAGTCACTTTGTTGGAAGAAACAAGACACTCTAATACCCTACTTCTATTCTATTTACCACAAGCTGCCAGCTGCACCTCCACATTCAGTTTTATCTGCAGTTTTGTACTGATTTTTATTAGTTGTAATGCATTTGAGAAAAAACTTCATGTTGTTTCACAAAATTTGGGAATAGGAAGAAAATTACAGTCACTTCTTTTTGTTTGTTTGTTTAAATGAAATTTTATAGCTACCAGAACAGCTATCATTTATATATAAAAATATCCTTAAACGCAGCGAAGCATAACAATAGTTCTTCATGTATATAACTAAAATGACAGAAGAGAACCAAGCAAAAGAAAGAACACCAGTGGAGTGTCCACATTTCTATAAACAAAATCAAGCAGACAAGGAACTCAGTAGCACAGTATGTAATTCTGTACCAATCTCCTCAATAGCCCTTTCTCATTGTATTCTCTTCAGAGAAAGCACAATTTTTATGAAAATGGGATAATCTTCTGTATGACGCCCAAGAGCATTTTTAAATCACAAGAAACTAAAGCAACTGCCTTCTTGTTTTTCCACAAAGCAGCCAAATGAATTGAGTTTACACATTAGAATACACAACCATACAAGAAATGAGTGCCTTTGACTTTTTGGAATGTATCAAAAATAAAACTGTCTTAAAACAGTCTGAAAAGACTTTTTGTAACCAAGGCATATCAAAGTAGCTTACACTGCACCATGTATACTTACATTTATTGATTCAATTGGGCCAAACTCCTCCAAAAGACTTCCAACATCCTGTTGAGTTGTCCTTTTGTCAAGTTGTCCTACCCAAAGTGTAGTACTACAAACTGCAATCAAAGAGTTAACACAGATCGTAAGAGCACTTGGAAATGGACACTTCACAAGCCAGAATGTCAAAATCGTCACTTCAAAATAGTCATTCAAATGAAAAAGCCAGCTAATATTAAAATATATATTTTAATCTTTATGAATGTTTGACAGAAACCTCTTTTTCTTGCCTGCCTGGAGCTGCTTTAACAGTTAACCACAGCAACTACATCAGAATCACTGTTACAATGCACTCACTAAGCTCGCTAGTTAACTAATATTACAGTGACCTGCAAGTTCTGATGATCATGAGCTCTGCAGATCATCATATAAAGGAAAGATATGCTTTGCTGCTAACAATGCTCCATGAAACACCCCAACACATACAGCAGATATGTCACAACAAGGTAACTCACTCTGCTTAGTGTGAAATCCAAGCTACAGGCCACCATCGCACGTTACGGATGGTACTTACTGGCAAGACAATAATTAGATTGTTCCTGGTGATACACCCACCACTGGCAAGATTTTCCTCCAGAATGTGGTGACAATTCAACCAAGCAACCAAGCTTTTAACTTCTTTAGTGACCTATTCAATGCCATTTTTTTCTATGGTTGAGTGACAAATTACTGACACAAGCTTTTTCTTTCAGGAAAGAGTAAGCAACAAGCTTATCTCACTTCATGCTTCAAGACGCAGAACAACAGATGAACCTAAAGAATCACAGGCACTGAAGGCTACTAGAGCAACATTTAATACTCATCTATGTCTTCCTGACCAAGAGATTTAAAACTGCAAACCTAAGAAGCATTATGTGACAGAATCTGGGAAAGATGTTGGCAAAAGCATATCTTACACCACTGCCAATAAGCTTTTAATGAACCGCTGTCAAGTCTTTGCAGTCCTTTTAAACTAATGGTATTGTCATTCACAGGTTTTTGCTAGTTAAAATTCTTTAGTTTTCCTCCCTCATATACAAAAAAGAATGTTCTCATTTTACTTGATGACTCCAGACAAGATTCCACACTCCCCAGGAATATTCAGAAGACAACTACTATGCTTTGTCTATAAACACAGGCAAATTCAGGATTATTTCAGAAATCCAAACACTAGCCTGTGTGTTTTCCAGGTCAAAGCTCCCCTCCAGGTTTGAGACACACACATTGAATCATTAGAAAAATCTTAACAACGTGCTCAACTTCTTGGTGCTCAATCTGCTTTGCCTTATATGTCTCAAAGAAAGGAAAAGAAAAACATGGTGTTTCAGCTTTTTCTTTCCTCATTTTACAGCCAAAATATTTCTGACTTGGAGAGATTCCAAAAATGACGAATTGTTTACTGTGAGTAAAGGAAGTACAGGCATGTGCAGGGCATTTAATTCTTACCAGCTTTACAACAGTTCAGAAAATATATCACAGTACAGTTTACTTTTATATTCTGTTTGGATGAGTCTTGAAACCCACATCAAATAGCATCCAATCCAAGAAAAAGGAACAAAAAAAAATAAAAAAAAGAACACACATCAGATGAAGAGTTGTCTTCCGGGATAGTCTGAGCAGGTATCATATACAGAAGGTAGGCAGACTTGTCAACATTAAATTTTAAAAAAATCTAATAGATACAAGATGTGTATTTCTTCGACATTTACACTTTTTCTAGAATACTTGTTTGTCTTCTTAGTATTCCATTTTACATAGGTATAGTATCTACTGCAATATTTTGAACTTTACAGAACCCTAAAATTCATTAAAAGAAAATACTGGGCATAGACAAAAAAATTCCATATATAAACCAGGAAGATGCTGAGCATCTGATAAATGGTATTAGAAGAATTTGCAGAGCTACATCAACAATAAAGAGAAAGAATAAACTTACCACTAACAGTTTCTGACTTGATCTGAGGAAGGCCTTTCGACCTGCGTTCTCTCTCCCTCTCACGTTCACGTCTTTCTTGTGAGCGAGACTTAGGAGAGTGTCGGCGTCTATCCCTGGACCGAGATCGAGACCGACGATGACGTGACCTTCGAGATCGGGAGCCAGATCTTGAACGTCTCCTTTTAGGTGACCTAGTTTAAACCAACAACCATTTATGTTCAAACTTTCTGACCAAGACATTGACAGACAGGTAACTATTTCAGGTACCTACTTAAATAACCAGGCAAGACTTCAGTCAATACAAAATAAGTAAAGCCAAGTTCATTCAGATGTATTTAGAACTAGAATAAATTATTATAGTAGCTTATTAATGTACTCCAGTTGAACAGTTGATTATTTTTCCATTTCTTATCTTCTATTAATTAAAGTTGGCTATCAAAACTATGTCCAGGTTAACACAGAAAAAAATTACACCCACTGCACTGAGGAAAATATTTAGTGCTTTTACAAAAGAATTGCTAAAAAACAGATTAAAAATAAATTCTGGCAGTGAAATTGTACTTTATATCATGTTCAAGTTCTAAACCACTCAAGGTCTGGAGGACAGAGTAAACCTTCAAAGAAGTCACATGAAACTTGGCAAAGAAGAATACTCATAACTAATTAGATACCTTTGCTTTAATATTAGAGCCAGATTTGTTAGGTCAGCTGAGCCATGTGAAATACTGCCTCTGAGACAGGCAGAGTCCCATAGTACAATGGATCACAGATTTCTTGATAAGAAAAGTGTCTTTAGAGCACAGATAAAATTAAACTATCGTATGTTTATCAATGACCTGGATGAGGGGATTGAGTGCTCCCTGAGTAGGTTTGCCGATGACACCAACTTGGGTGGAAGTGTCGATCTGCTCGAAGGTAGGAAGGCTCTGCAGAGGGATCTGGACAGGCTGGATCGATGGGCCAAGGCCAACTGTATGAGGTTCAACAAGGCCAAGTGCCGGGTCCTGCACTCAAGTCACAACAATCCCATGCAATGCTACAGGCTTGGGGAGGAGTGGCTGGAAAGCTGCCTGACGGAAAAGGACATTGGGGTGTTGATCATCAGCCAGCTGAACATGAGCCAGCAGTGTGCCCAGGTGGCCAAGAAGGCCAGCGGCATCCTGGCTTGTATCAGGAATAGTGTGGCCAGCAGGAGTAGGGAGGTGATGGTGCCCCTGTACTCGGCACTGGTGAGGCCACACATCCAGCGTTCAGTGTTCAGTTTTGGGCCCCTTACTACAAGAAGGACATTGAGGAGCTGGAGCATGTCCAGAGAAGGGCATCGAGGCTGGTGAAGGGTCTGGAGAACAAGTCTGATGAGGAGCAGCTGAGGGAGCTGGGGCTGCTTAGTCTGGAAGAGGCTGAGGGGAGACCTTATCACTCTACCCTGCCTGAAAGGACGCTGTAGTGAGGCAGGTGTTGGTCTCTTCTCCCAGGTAACTAGCGATAGGATGAGCCGCAGTTGCCTCAAGTTGCATCAGGGGAGGTTTAGATTGGATATTAGGAAAAATTTCTGTACTGCAAGAGTGGTCAGGCATTGGAACAGGCTGCCCAGGGAAGTGGTAGAGTCACCATCCCTGGAGGTGTTCAAAAAACGTGTAGATGTGGCACTTCAGGACATGGTTTAGCAGGCATGGTGGTGCTGGGTCGACAGTTGGACTTGATGATCCTAGAGGTCTTTTCCAACCTTCATGATTCTATGATTCTATATTCTGCTTCCCTAAAATTTACTCAGTGCTGACAGGCATGCAAGTTACTCTCTACCAGTAAGAGAGGACTGTATAGATACCCAATTTACCTCAGAAGGTCGATGACTTTCAGAGGTTCATAAGTCTCAAGAGTCACTAAACTGTTTCTCATTACCGGTGCACTGAAGTACATACAACATTTAGCTGTATTTATACACAACTCCCCTCAGAGGTAGGAGATTGAAAAGGTGTCTTTTCTTCTCTTCCAGAAGGGGAATTCAAATAAAGCCCTTGACAGTCTTGACTTTACCAAGAATTTTCACCAGTGTTGTCCGTACAGAGAATAATACCCAGACAGTAATTTCTTGAAATTAATCCTTAGATTAAATCAAAATGGACTGTTCTGCTAAATGTGTCTTTTGGCATTTAGTCAGAGAATCCAACCTGTACAGCACAAATGCGCACTTACAAGAAATGACCTCAAAGACACTATGCTGAACAGGGCACTCCAGATGCCAACTCTAAACACAGGTAACAAGGCTATGTCGTAAGCCATTGAAAATGAGCTCCACCAATAGTTCAAGAAGTTAGCTTACCTCTCAGCTATTTAGTGTCATCTCTGTTGGAAGTTACCAACCCCACAGCAGATCTGGCAGCACAGCACCAGATTCTGCTCCAGATAATCAGCGTAACTCTCCTCAGTACTTGTACAGAATTAGCAAAGCGTTTTCAAGTCTTTGGACATGACACACTTAAGATCCTTCTATTAAAATCCAATACTTGATATAATATATACCCTCACTAAAAGAACTTTCACTACTTTACCTTGATGCAGATCTAGATCTTGACTTTCTGTTGTCAGAAACATGACGTTTTCCCTCTTGAATAGGTGGCTGTTCCACTTCCATATCCTAAAATATTAAGTTGACTAGTGTTATGGGTGACTAGCACAAGCATTTTACTTCATTTTATGCCTAGATTAATTTATTTAACAGCACTAAAATTATATGGAATATTCACATATGTGAGATTAGAATGTAATGGAATTCTCCTCAGAAGCTTCACCACTACTTTGTAGTCACTAACAGGGAGAGAGTCCAGTATTAAATCAACTTATTACAACCACTACAAAAACATAATAAAAATAATTTACACACAATTCTTATTTTCAATTTGCAAATTATGATTTTTCCACATTTTAGTCAATTTCAGCACCGCATATACTTCCACGGAATATTATTATATTCCTTAAATCAGCCAGTGGATCTTGCTTTGTCATCAAAATCACAGGCAAAGTAAAGTCTACTGGAAAACTCTTCTACAAGGCATTATAAGAAACTATTTTAAGCCATATATATAAGCAAATTACAATACAATAAATTTGAAGAATGAAGCAGTAAGTCATCAGCTTCCCACTCCAGAGCGTGCTGTGTCCTGCCTGGACTTTAAACAGGCTTCATGATGCGACCCTGGCAGGGAACATCTGAACAAGTAATCTCTCAGAATGCACTGTTTCAACAGTATTCAAGACTAAAAAACTAATTACAAAGATACTCTCCAGAGTTGTCCCTTTATTCTAAGTGGAAAGCAAGAACTTATTTCTAGAATCTGTGACATCACAGGTCACCACATAAGGACAGCCTGGTTCCATCTCTATTTCTCTTTTTAGGATTTCCTTTTCGTGGAACAGAAGAGGCAAATATATTCAACTTTTTTTTTTTTTTTTCCAAAATACAGGCTCACAAAACAGACTTCTCTTTGATTTCTTCTTAATAGCAGCCAGTTACCAAACTAACAATATCCCTCAAAATCTGAGGAACAAAAGAGAGGTGTTTACACACTTGGACTTTTACAGGTATCCGAGTCCACTTCCACTATATTAGCTATCTAACAGGCCCTTAAAAGTTAACTTTTCCAGATATTTTCTCTTCAGAATGAGATTGCATTGTTAGAATTCCATGGAACTAAATATTCCTGAAGCATGATGCAGTCAGGAAATGGAGGATGAGGGAAAGCGGGAAGTGGAAGGACAAAATGCAATTCAAAGTCTTTCACAAAAGGAGGCATAAAGCATACACATGCTGGTTTTGCTAGACTTCTGAAATACCAGACTTGCCATGTAGCACTGCAGCTATCCAACTTTCTCTCAGACGAGCTACCCTCACAGCCATCTCTGTCCATGTTTGTCATGAAATTTCCTCTCCTGAACAAACTATGCACATTTGAGAAAGACATGTATTAGAGCATTTAAGTTAGTTTGTTCACTTAAGGGGCCCTCACCTGCTGATGTGGTTTTTGCATGTGTGATTCACTCTGTACTGGAAAAGGTGACTGAAAAGTTTGCTGCACAGGTGCTGTTGGTGGAATCACAGGCTGAGCCATGGGTGGATACTGCGGGGTAGGCAGGAGACCAAAACCTGGCATTTGCCCATTAGGAGGAAGCGGAACCTTTGGGGAAGAAAAAATGAGAAAAACTCCACTTAGGAAAAAAAAAAACGACATTAGCTTTCCCAGTTGGCTACAGTAAAATTGTATCTCTGCTCCAAAGTCACAATAAAAGACCAGAAGCCCGAAAAAGATGAAGCAGGTCAAGCGTTTTGTGTATAAAATAAAAATCTCGTTTTTCAAAGTCTGACTAGAACAGAGAACAAAAATATGTTTCTTGTGAAAGTCAGAAGGCTAAGCCATACCCACTCTTCACTAATAGGAACACTACTTCCTTTCTTCTGCATCAAAGAAAACAGCAAAAGATAGGAAACGTAACGCAACAGAGGGACAAGGGAAAACTCCAAAGTTACCTGGTGACGCATTGGATCCTGTTGCATTCCCATCATTCGCTGCTGAAAAGGATCCATATTTGGGAGCTGAGGAAATACTGGCTGTTGTATACCTTCTCCTGGAAACCCACTAAAACCAGTAATATTTTGGTGAGACAAGTCAGTAGATATACAGATTTTTTGCCTTTATTTTACATATTTCTATGTACATTTACACATTCTTGCTTCGAACTCAGACAGAAAAATTATCTTTATTTATGATCCCATGTCCTCTCTAAAAAGTGAAAACAAAAAAGAGGAGAAAGAGTGACTTCCTTATCTTTTCTCCACTGTAGGCGTAGTCCTTTAACATTTAATGAAAAGCTACATAAAGGTTTTAGCATCTCTTCCCCCTGTACTTACATGACCTTGCTAAAGATCTCAGTCTATGGAAATCTTTCATGAAGGTTCTTTGCCTTAGGCTAACTTTCTACCTTTCCAGTTCCTCTTCTGGGAACAAAAGAAGTAAGCCTTTTCCTCAAGGAAAATAAACTGGCCATACTTTTGCTGGGAAAAAACCTTTAGTTTGGGAGCAATTTAGCTCAAAGGAGAAAAAGATATGTGTATCACACATGGATTAAAGTAATGCCATACACTTCCTGATTCAACACACAGAATGGACAGTGCTCAGGGAATTAATGAGGTCTGTGCAATTAATAGGACCTGTTTACAGGACACGGTTTGTGTAAGAAACTAAACAGGATTTCACAAAGATAAAGGAATTTCATGGTGATGTGAAATGGAACTTTGTAGTATTTTAAGACACAGGTGCCATACAATTCTTCAACGTTTCTGGACAGATCAGTTTCTCGTGTAGAGTATTAACGATTTTGTGTGTCCAAAATGACACTACTGGAATCAAACCTTCAGAGGTATCAACTACAAGGTAATAAGGACAGAGGCTTTGAAGTGCGAGAAACAGAACATTAACATGCTGAAAAGCCTAGTCCAATGATCTCTATTGGGAATACACAAGCAGTGCTTCTGTTTGACTCACCTCATCTTTCTGTACTCCAGAGTTCCATCTGTATTATAGGGAAAATACTACCAATTTACTTAAAAGGCATTTTAATTAACTAATACTTGTGGAACATTAAAGTGCTTAAGGTGATAAACACAGTAAGAAAGCTAAGGACAAAGTTAGTGATTCTGTTTTTGAGAGCAGAGTTTGGATGGCATATACAGAAAGTCAGACACGGGGCCACATACTGAAGCAGGGAAAAAAGAAATATTGACTAACCCAGGTATTGAGCACCATCCAGCCTGTGCACTGAATGAGAGAGGGGTCCTGTGGAAAAAACTAGTATGTGATCATGTAATTTAAGACTTTATCATAACGCATATCAAAAGGGAAACTGGAGTCTGAGTTAGTTTGCGTGGGTACTTCATGTTTGAGAACATAAAGCTGCAAAGCCAATCTTAGTTTTTTAAATAGTTAAAACTACCACAATGTTTGGAACAGCATCTTTTCCCCAGCCAGCAAAGCAATCCAGCTGATTACTAACAATGCCCTGACACACTTAGTGGTGCAATAAAAACACGGAACTCATCCTGAAACCAAAACTGAGCTTTTCTCTACGGAACACATTCCTCAATCAATGATGCAACATGCCAAACCTACACCAGATCACTGAAATAAGATGACAAAATAAAAAAAAAAAAACACAACACCAGAAGTTGTTAACAATATTTTAACTTTGGACTTGAACAGTTAGGCACTGAAGTAACTTGGAATTTAAGCAGCTTTCTAACCTAAAGATTTTTTAGTACAAAGATTTGTTAATTTTATTGACACAAAACTTACAAAGTTGGCTGAGAAACCGAAGCAGAAGGAGCTGAATCTTCTTTCTTTGCCTCTTCCACTGCTTCTGGTTCATCATCATAGTCAAACCGATCTAGCAGCTTCTGAAAGAAATCACATTGTATCAACTATTTTTTCTGTATCTTATATAATTGGCAGCCAAAACATCCTTATTATTGAAGTCTTACTACATATCTAACAGCTCTGGAATTAAAGACAAGGTTAGACTCGGGGGGGGGGGGGGGGGGGCACACGGAAAACGAAGAAAGAAAATTTGCATAATTTTTCTCCTAACAAATGGAGGACATTGAGGCTTCCATCAAACAGTCTTCCACTGAACTGAAAAAGTTAAACACCAAGAACAAATGAAGACTTACTTTGTCAAATGACGTTTTTTGCTCAGGCGGTGGGAAAGCAGCTTTTTGCTCTGGTGGTTGTGCTGCTGTAGTTTTCAACTGAGCAGTAATAGCTTGAACCTGAGCCATCACAGTGTTATCTATGACTGGTGACTGGGGTTTTTGAGGCTGCTGGAAAGTCTGCAGGATTTGCTGAAGCTACAGAAACATATATAGTATTAAGTATATATTCTTATATAAACATGTAGTATTGAAGGAATTGTAGGACACAAATCTTACCTCAAATCTGACTATACCACAGGATGAATACCACCAACAACCTGACTTAACTAGGGAGAACTTTCAGCAAGACCAAAAGTCACTTTTTAAACACTTCAGTGGCACAATTCAGCAGATCTCAAGATTTCCATATTCAGACTTTTCAACACTGCAAACATTTAACCGTTTAGACTGAACAATAAAACTCAACATCTTGTCTGACATATCCCGCCTGTTTTTGAAACTTTGTAACTGCATCAATTCAGAACGAATTATTTAGGAATATATAACTGAATTTTCCTCAAATACAATACTTACTGGATAGAAGGGTCACAGACCATCCAAATCTTGACTTTAACTCTTACAAGTTTTCCACTAAAGACCTTAACGAGGTTTTTTGTTTTGCTTCAAATCAAGGATATTACTTTATCATTTATTCCCCCTCAATTAACACAAACTCTGAGGTCAGAAGGGAACCAAATACAAACAGGTTACCTGTTGTCCTTGCGTTGTTTGAAACAACTGAGCTACAGCTGCAAAGGCATCAGAACTGGGCAACTGTGGCACAGTAGGTACTGAGTTAGCAGTAACTTGAGGGGGCTCCGAAGCAACCTTTGCTGGAGGTGGCGGTGAACCTGAGAGTTTCACAGGAATTGAGAAAGCACTACATTACTCCAAAACATTCGCCTTACTCTTTAGTGCATTGATCTACCTCCTCAAATCAAGCGTCTACCTACAATACTCTATTTAACCCAAAAAGTCCTATCTAAACTACCCTAATTGCATATTCCATTCATTTTGCCTTTAACTGCTCCATTCGCTGCTCACATCTGCGCATTAAATACACTAAGAAAGAAAACAAAGAAAAATGGCCTACCTGAAAGCTAGTCCAGCATGGTATTTTAGATCACAACTCAGTGTTTATAATTGTAAAATTTCAGAAAAGTTAAGAGAAAAACTATTACTCAAACAGCGTTAAACAATGCGTATCAATACACTTAAAATGTTAGTTCCAGTTACAAAGCTCTGGACTCATTCTTTTGGATGAATATTTCAAATCAATCATCTAACGGTTCTTTTCAAGAGCAACTGAGTTTCTTTTAATACTTTCTATTTTCTAGCAGTAACTGAACTTTTGCTGAAATGCCTGGTAATAATTAAAGGTTTCTAAAAATTATTTCACAAGCAACTCTTTTTCTTTGGTAAGGTTTGTTCACATGCTACTTTTGCATAGGCACAAGCCAAACCTGAATCTGATACATAAATCCCCCTACCATGAAAACAATTTTCACTAATTCTTCCAGGAAAAGACTCCCATTTCCACTAAGCTTTACTAAAACCGAGATCACATTTTAAGACATGCTATTAGCTTTGTCTACACATGCAGTTCTTCCATTGTCTTTGCTTTAGATTACAATGCTATTTTTAATAAACTTTTTGCCAGTACAAAGTAAATTAGCAGTAATACCATCAATTCATACATGCTGTAAGCAAGTAACTATTCCTTAGCAAATATATTTCAACGGAGTACTATAAAACTGTACAAGGACAGACAGTTAAAAAAACTCCACAGACAGTGAAATTTTTAGTTCGAGACACTAACCAAACACATTTGCCTCCCAATACCAACTTCTTTAAAGCCATTCATCTTAAATTTGCAGCTTAAATAACTGCAATATTGACATGCAGCAAGCAGACAAACGTGTTGGATAATATCTTCCCAGAAGTCAGATGCTACATAAAAATACTGCAAAAAGACACATGATTGTTTTTAAACATAAATTATCTCCTAAGTTATTTCCTGTATATATTCAAGATATTTGCTTGCTTAAGGGAGAAAATTCGCATTTCTTCCTCTCTCTTTTTTTTGGCTGAACAGACTTTGCTGTACTATGAGCTAAACAGATTCTATTTCAGATAATGCATTAATACATTTATTATTATTTATTAGCATATTTATTTCAGGGCCAAATTATCCCCTCCAGTGCATCTGGATAATCTCACTGAAATCAGTAATTCTGTACATGAAAATCTATGCAGCAGGTACCCAACCGGATAGCTAGTAGTGATGAGACAAAGATGGAAAAATAGTGCCACTCACCTGTCATACCAGAATGAAATTGTGTAGCCACCAGTCTGCACCCAAGCTCAGATACTAAGAGGTTCCCTCCCCCTGCCTGGCCATGTTCATAAACCATGTCACCATTTTTTGCCAGTCTTACTCCAACATACAGGAGTGCAATATATAAGGAGGTGACCAATGCCAAGTCTGAAATATAAAGTGCAAACTCAAAAAGAAGGCCCTCCAGAGAAAGAGAGAACTGTGGTACACATATTCTCACCCACAGTTCGGTAACCTCACTACCAGATTTTTATGTGGCATAAAATAGGTCAGTGAAAATACTGTGGGAAGGCCATCGTTACTTTACTCCTTAGGTCAGCGGTTTTCAACCAGTAGTCCGTGTAAAAGCCTACTGCCAGGCATAAATATACCATTCAAGAATTCAAATTTGAAACAGCAGCTAAAATATTTTGGGGCTGCATATTCAAAGAGATTGACAGCTGTTTCTTTCAGATACTAAGCTGATTCAAATAAAAAAGAAACTCTTAACATGTAAGGTCACACTTTATTTACCCAGATTCTAACACAAAAAAATGACATCAGAATTATAAAACTGACAAACAATGAAAAAATATCTCAGACCAAAAGAAAAAAAAATTAAAGATTTTTTTAAGAGAGGACACTGAAGTCATCTGTAAGGGAAGTGTGCATACCTATGTACATATGTATACACGATATAAATTTCAGGTATTTTTCCAAATGAAGTGTTCACATTCTGATAATTTCTGAAGTACAGTATCAGCATTTATCTAGAATGAGTTCAGCTGGTCCACATAATTGTGACAACAAAGTTGAGTTTATTAATATGCTACTGTTGAAACGAATAGTGGGCGCTTTAACGTTCAAGCAAACAAGTTATTATCATCCATCCCTTTAAAAGAAGTTACAATGTCATTCATACCTTCATTATTAGTAGCATTTTCTGTCATTGGTGCAGTGGCACTAGTTCCTGCTGCCATATCCAGAAGAGGCTGAATTATTTCAATTTTAAATACTCCATTTTTCTGCCAAAGGTTCAGGACTCGGACTATTTTACTCTGTTGAGGCAAAGGCAAGCATCAACACTTAATACAGCTTTCCTAATTCACAAACTCCATATTTATCTTCTGTTCATTGAAAAGAAAGGTTTGAACAGTATAGCAGTTCAACATAATCACACACACACCATCTAGCAACCCCTATATGTTGTCACACAGGTCAGCAAGACCTTTTACACAGCAAAGATAAAAACTGCCAACTTATTTTTCTATCTGCTTTAATATAAAGCAACTTGTGCCATTTTTCTAAAACTGTTCTGGCCAGTCAGGAAATCCATGTTTCATACGCAATAGAGGAAGTCACATCAGCCCCACCATTTCTTCACAGATGGTCATGAAGAGGTGAAACAACAAATGCATCAAGACAGACAGAGAAAATGAAAATGACCTGGAAAACCCTAATGAAGAGAGGAGCAATTAGATCATAAAATGCCAGAACAAAGCTTTAAAGTTAGATAGAAGATTGTTTGCTTGAATTTTTTTCTACTAACCCAACCAATTCTATATCAACACCACAAAACCCATCTCCATCATTATTCAAAAGATCAGGAAAGCAAGTGGAAAACATTCCAACTGATCACTGCAGAAAGATTAAATTAGAACCTCTGATTGTCAGCTGTTATTTTAAGCTCATTTCTTTTTTTAACATTAAGAACAATGAAGCTTTCAGGAACAAGCTGGAAATTAGTCTTTCCTTCTTTAGCCCAGTATTGAACAATAATACCTAACTAGATGTGCTGCTTCAGTCGGAACACGCAAGCAGGTGAAAGTCAGAATGCATGTTGTATTGACATACCTGTCCTTTTTGTATGCTTAGTTATCTGACTTGCACACATACACATTTTAAGTACTTTTTAATTCCACTGTAGCTGCCAAAGATGAATCAATTCAGTTTCTTCTTGTTTCAACAATAAAATGCCTTACTGTGACTCAGTTATATATACCCATGCAAATCCATCTATACTTTTGTAAGTTAAGTGATTATAAAGAATGTCACAAAATGTTTTCTACAATAAGATCAATTAGATAGAAACCTGAAATGGCTATTTTTAAACAAGATTTTGGTCTGAAAACCAGTTAACTTTAAAACAGCAGCATTTTTTGGTTTTGGATATCTATCTCTCCAGAAGACTTGAAAATAATATTAAGGCCAAAAAATGAACAAATTTAATACTCTTGTTTTCAGTCATGTATTAATCTCACAGAAAAGCTAAAAAAAAAAAAAAAAAAAAAACAAACCAAAAAACCAGTATTATTTGTTTAAAAAAGTAGTGTTATTTTCTTTGGATATCAACCATAGTTGTTGTGTATCTGCAGATCAGGTTTTTTTGCTTAGGTACTGGAAAGTCATTACAGCAAGTATGTTACAAATAGTATTATTACCCTAGTGGAAAGCATCTTCATTATTTTAGCAGTGAGATATCAAGTAGTTCCACGAAGTAGCTGGATAGTCCAGCTCATTTAGATGAACAAAATGGTAACCACAAAGACAGAAAGAAGAGATTGCTCTACTTCAGCATGGTATTAACCCAGAAGCTCCAAAATGTCAGACTCAAGGCCTAAAGGTCTAAATGTTCCATATTAGAAAACTACAGAGCATCAAAGCCTTTCAAAAGCTTAGTTAGAAAGTCAGGGAAAAAGTCAGTTATAAAATGTGCATTTTGCTCTTACGGTACCACAATTAAGAAAAAGAGCAAGTAGGTTTTCTGGAAACCAAGTGGCAACTTCTATAACACTTTGATCTTGGGATTCTTTTGAAATTGTTCTGACAAGAGGGCTCAAGAGCCATCTTCTGTTGATAGCAACCTGGACCATCATGAATTCAGGATACTTTCTGAGCCTCTGTTCTATCAGCAAGTATAGCAAAACTAAGAAAACCAAGGTCTTAAACCAGTCTCGACAATGGAGACCAGCAATGAAATTCTCAAGTATGGGATTTGTAAATACTGAAGAAATCAACATGATGATTTTCTTAGAAAATATTTGGGAGAGGAACCTTTGCTGCCTACAACACCAGAGCTTCTCTAACACTTTCTTTCTGTGGGAGACACCACCTTCCACAATCAGCTTTCCTGAAGGAGCCTCGAGAAGAAAAGTTTTTGCATAGTCACACACACTGTTGAAGTGTCTGCACAGGCAAAACAAAACCGATGAAGTGAGGTAAAATAAATATTTCAACTAGAACTTTCATTTAATTATCACCTTTGACAATCTTTCTCAGCATGTTTTATCATTCCATATAATAACATTCACTACCATGGACATAGAGAATCACCAAATTAGCTTTCCCGTAAGTGGAAACACCAAGGTAGCACTGTTACCAATTCACAACAACACTTCAGAAATTATAGTTGTACCTTGTCTTCAGATGGACAGAGATACAAATACTGGAATGTGGCAGTAATATTTTTAGAGAATCTTGGCCCAAAAACATCTTTGTCCGTTCCAAACTGGTGACGAGACTGACGAACAATAGAGTCAATAACGTACAATCCAGGGACTTTATATTCCGGTTTGCACTGGAAACATAAAAATAGCAGTGATACTAACAAGGTAACATGCATACGCCTTAGATCCTTACATGAAATCTATACTTAGCATACTTGGGTAGGAAAAAAAGAGTTATTTTTTTTTGTTTTAAGTAGAATTCTCCTAGTGCTTCACTTTCATTTTGTTTATAGAAATGGAAAAGGAGAAAAACATGCTTTCACATTTGGGACACAGTAAATATACCTGGATAGCTTGAAGCAGCCTTCATCTTCTCTATCACTGCTTTTAAAGTACCTTTAGCTTGACAACATGTGACCGCAACAATACATCTAGTACATTACAGTGCAGCTTGTCACAACTCTGCTATTAAGCTACCTGACACACTTAATGCACTGAACTACTTCCACCAACCCTATTCTCCAGAATTTAATGCAAAGTGCTTCTCTTTGGAGGTCTCTGAAGGACTCTGAACGAAAAAGAGTATTCTTCCTGTTCACTCAGAGGAACTTACTTTAGGCAGCATGATGGCTTGGGTTTCGCAAGTAATAACTCTAACCTGTTGTTCTACATGCCTAGGTAAGCATGAAAACTGCATTTTCTGAAAAAATGTATTATCTTAGCCAGTGAAAATGATATTGAAGTTCAGGACCCCCAGTTTCCTCGCCATTTGCTGGGTAGATGAGGGAGGGGGAATTTCACAATTACTGTTTTTACTCTCCTTCTTAATGTACTACAGAAAACTAAAATGAGGACATTATATAGAAAATCCTAACAAAACAGAATTTCCTCCCTCAATCCCTGAATAAACAGAAGCCTTTGTGGTTATTTACTACCATTATTGATAAAATCTAATAACAGATGTAGACACTATCTTTATCAGTAGATTATTTTTTACCTTTTTGATAAACTTCTCTACAATCTGGACAACATGCTTGTAGAGCTGGAAAATAAATACATAAATTAATTTATCATCTACTCAACAGTGGCGCATCATTTTAGAAGTATTTTTACTCTTTGTGCTTACCACCATTTAGGAAAGACTACAAAACCTTGTAGTCACATTCTAAAAAGAAGTATGTTATCAAGGTAAGTTAGTCAAGCACAGAGAAAAGATTTCACAGGGGGAACAGACAGAAACAAGCCATCCTTCCTGTCAGAAGCGTGTCAGTGTGTACACAAAAGACATACTGCTTCTAGAGTGTTAGTGAGAGCTTTCTGGATTTACTTTCTAAGCAAGTCCGCTGTGTTTTAATATGCTAAGGTACAGTTGCATCCAGCAACATTTAAATTTTTATAACATAGAAATCACCCTAGTGGGTGTAGCATTGAAAACCAATGACTAAAAAAAATATCAAGCTGGCATTATGCTACTAATCTAAAACCAAGAGATTATATTCATCACCCACTTGTTTCTAGATAACATTCTTAGCGCCTGTTAGAATAAAACATCCATGAAGCTAAGACTGGGAAACCCAGAGATGCATTTACTTAGAAGTAAAATAAAACATTGCTACTGTTAGTTTCATGTTTGTTCCACTGTACTTTACCTTAATAGCTTTAATGGCAGCTTTTGTGATGAGAATCATTTTTGCCCGGGAAATAGGAGGTTTCATCTCCATCAGTGAAAAGAGCTAAACAGAAAAAATAAGTATTAAAAATGTATCTGAAGTTGAAGCAGTTAACCAAAAAGACAATATTTCAGACAACTGATTGATTACTGACATTCCACGCTAGGCATCGCCACAATGCTGGCTGACCCTTGAAACAAAGAGACTACCAGGTAGATCTTTCTAGGCAATGTTCAAAGCTATCCTTCTGAACTAACCCATGTTCACTGATTTACCAGACTGTGACAAGGCTTCCGTCAAAGTTCCATTTGTGTCTAAAAATTATTATCTGCTAACTTATGGTATGGGAAGTTCCTACTTTACAGAAACAACAGAAATAACTGCATCTTGATTTAAATTAGCCTTAGTATCTTCTTAGCAAACAGAAAAATCAGGACAGCCCTACAGACAGCTAGACTGACATAATCCTATAATCTTAAAATAATGTGCATAAAAGTATGACAACTTCCATCCACAAAGGCAATCAAATTAATACTAAGTTTTCAAATTATCCTGCTATATACAGGCATTGCAAATGCCTTTAATGGAGATGTTTACCATTTTGTTTGCTATGACCATACCATATTATTATTAAAATTAACTGCACCAGCTGTTTGGGGAGAATTGTCTGCACTCGTCTCCAAACTAATGCCACCCAGTGGAAAAGTTCAACCCTCGAGGAAAAAGTCTTCAAAGTTTACAGATGACAGTTTGAGGCATTCTGTGAAGCTGACTTACAGAACAATCCTGATCTCACTCCTATAAACACACATAAACAGGCACACTATTTCACAGAGTTTTAATCGTACCAGAAGTTAAGAGTAGTGCTATTCTGTTAAGACCATTAAGTACAGAACAGGATTCTGCAGTGCTAGATTTAAATACTCTTCTTCTGTAAAGTCTGAATTCACAGAACGCATATTCTATATTGAAAGCATGTAGGCTACAGGTAGGATGTTCAGCTCTTCAAATCTGAAAATGTGACTCTAAGCAAAAAAACCCCAAACTTCATTATCACAAATAGCATCATCACGACTTACATTTCGTGTGTGAGGACATTTATTACAAAACACTTTCAGAAAGTCTTGAACCTAGGCATTCACAAAAGACACTGTTCTTTCTTCCAGCATTGACCGTAACTCTGAAAACAAGTATTGGCTCACATTTCAGAAGCTGAGAGAAACTAAAACTTGCACACAGAACCATCTGAGCTGACGAAACATTCCTGAAGGTCTGAACACAGAAAGCTGAGGGGAGAGGGATACATTTTCCTCAGGATCCCAGCACCACCTGAACAACATGACATTCTGATCCTACTTTGCTTTCTGTAGCACGTTTGGAGAGAATAGGGAAATAGGGGATTTAGGGAGGTTTTTAAATAACAGTCCTGCGGTCCGGCACTCATAAGCATGCATGCACACACACCAGAAGACACCAAAAATCCAATGCACATTTCACCACTTTCCAGACCACTCTGTCTACTCTGGATCTACAGTGAATTCTATATACTCCATAAGCTACTATTCTAATTTCATATCATAAAATAACCAGCTGCAAAAACTACACTGTATGCTATACTATGTTTTTACGGCATACTGTGCACACTTCTGTTCTACCAGTCATTAGTCTTGGAAGCATAATCCACATTGGCTTGTCAAGACCATTCTTTCTTCTCCAATTTTCCTTTTTCCAAACAGAAAGCGAAGCCAGGACACCCCAGTACTACTTTTTAATTCCTCCTTCTACTTCACAGCTTATGGTTAGCTGCTCTGCTTCATTAAATATTGTTTTCTATTCTTCCTATAAACTCAACTTTCTACTTAAGCTGGGGCTTACTAAAGGCAGAATCATTATATTGTCCTGACTTCTACAGTGTAAAAACACATGGAGATCTTCAGCATTTCCTACACACAGATGATCATTTGTACCTTGAAATATTTTTTGCATTATGTTTTGCATTACATAATTCGATTTTGCTCTTCACAACAAAGAAAAAATAAGAGTCCTTGGATACTAGCCAAAAAATGTAATCGATTATTTGCCACAAAGCAAAATAAGAGAATAAAAGTATCTTCACTTGACAAGGTAATGGAAAGTAAGATGTCATTTAAAAATTTATCTCTTACTGTACTTTTAAATTAAAGTTCTGAGATACTTGTGAAGTGACCAACTTACAGATTTATCCACTATCTCCATTAAGGAAAAAAACAATGCAGAAGATAAAAAAAAAATTGGCCAAATATTTAAAGCCAAGTAAAGTGATAACAAGACTTTCAGCAATACAAAATGAAAGCCTTACACCAATAAAATACAAAGAGTAGGCAAGCAGGTATTTACCTTCTTAACTCAATTCCTAATCCAGGAGATATGAAAGAAGAAAAATTGTCCTTCAAGACAGTGGTAGCCAGATATCTTTTCCAACACCAACATTAAGTCAAGATCATGACTTTTCATTACTAATCTCCATAAAAGGCAAGTTCTAGTGCCAGAATGTCTGATTTTTAGAGCTATTCAAGGTGTAAGACATACTTCAGATAACAACCCTTCTTGCTGAGAAATCACAGTACGGACAAATAAAAATTGTCAGATAAAAGACAGAAGGAGAGAGGTGCCTGCAAGTTGACATGCTTTTTTAAAAAAAGCTTAATTTCAATTTTGAATTATATTTCTTTAGAATAAAGGCAAAGACTCTTGACGAATAAAGTCAATTCTACTATTAAAACTCAGGAAAAGCTGTTTTAAGAGGTAATGAAAGACAAAAAAAAAACCCCTCCCAAAACCCAACACCCATAAAAAAACCACCAGAAGGCTTGAAAAATTAGAGGGAGGAAGAAAACAATAGCCAACATTAAGACAGGCAACTCCATATCCCTTCCTTTACACACCGAGAAGCAACTGGACTTCCAGAGAAACGAGCCAGTCCCATATAACAAGAACAAAGAAGCCAGTGTGAAAGCAGCACTTCAGCATATTTCAGGAACGCAACCACAGAGAACCAGGAAACTGGGAGAGCTCATAGCAGGACAGAAGATGACAATAGACAAGTGGCCGCAAAAAAATAAAAAGTGTCTTAAAAGGTATCCCCAGAATGATGTTGCAACTGGGGGAAAAGAAAACAAAAATTAAATTCCAAGGAGAAAGAAACTGCCAGAGGGCAGGTAAAGGGAAATCAGCTGGATGCACTGAAGGAGCCAGGGACAATGCAATAAAGAATATGGTAGCTTGGAGAAATTATTAATTAAAGAACACAAGAGGCTGAAGCTAAGGCTAATAAGGCCGGAATAAACAAGAGCTTTGGAGGAACCGGATCGAGCCGATCACTGTAAATTGTTCCTTTGCTGGTACAGACAGCACTCTGGGCAACAGCAACAAAAACATATTAAAAGTAAAGAGGTCAGTACACACAGATATTCGCAGCTCAGGATGAACTACAGCTGAAACATGTAAATTGAGATGCCAATACCTTTTTATGTATACATATGCACACATACATATGTATACACGTGTATGTATATGCATATATACGTATGCATGTATATATATGTATTCTGCCCTCTCTTCACACACACCCCCAACACTATCTCTTGGAATAGTGCATCAAAACTTTGCTGCCTGTTTAAATTTTCATAAGATTTTAGAATACCATATGACTATTTTAAACCAAATTTTTATTTAATTTTCAGTATCACAGTTACATGTGTCAAAACCATGTTTTAAAGATGGGTAAATCTGAAATTTAGCAGTCCTACTAGTTCCTCATGGATTTTCACTGTCAGAAGGGGAAACTGTTCAGTAAGATGCTCATATACTTTACATTTGCATATGTTCAATAAGACTTGGATCTTCTTTCACACACATTTCCCAAACCACTATATGACAACCCTTCCCCATTTTCAGAGGACTGTCCTTCCAATAATACATCTAATTCCTCAAAGGGCACCACGATCAGCTCAAGAAACAACCAAAGCATAGAAACTTACACTTTATTAAAAAAGAAATAACAAAGGGAACAGTAATTTGCAGCTTGAGAGTGTTTCCAATGTGTCGCCTCACAACAGAAGCCTGTCCCTGGAATGTTGCACTCTACAAAGCTTGACCTGCTAGAAATTACTTGCTGTTTTTACCAACCATAACATTGGATTTTTTGAGAAACAAAAAACAGCTCCTAGTTGTTCCCTACCTTCCTTCCCCATATAGTGACACCACTGGCTAAAGAAAAAAGCAGGAGTTTAGTTCTGCCTCTATTTCTTCTGCCCCCAGCCCATTCATTTGGCAATGAAAACTACCCAGGGTATCTCGTTCACTAGGATGAAGCGGTATGACAGGGCGAGAGACAGCAGGGGAAAAGAAGTGAAACTTTATTATTACATAAGAAATTAATTCAAGGACTATTGAAGACTTGTACCTTTATTCAGTTCTGATAATTTCAGTAGTTTAAGAATTGTCTCCTGCTGTCTGCATGGATTCTTTTAACACACAAGGAAAAGCTAATGTAGAAAAACTACTAGAAAGGCTTAGTGACAAAATGTGATCAAAATCATTAAGACAAAGGTCGTAAGAAAAACTTTGCTATTTCAGTTCTAATAGTCTCACCTGTTGAAAGCAGTATGAAAAAACCCACACTTTGTTTTACACAAGCTCTAGCTTAGGATACAATTTCAATTTAAGAAACTCCAAACATTTGTGGAACCTCCCTATATCTGAAAGTCTGTGCGCTGTAGCCGCACATTTTTAAAAGGAATCATTTCTTTATTGCTCCGTATCAACCCATGTACTACAAAAAAAGCGGAGATATTAAAGTGCCTACTAAACTCAAGCCACAATACCAAATATTGATTCAAGAGTATTTCTGTGTACTTTTCATAACACTATGGAAGTACAGGGTAAAATATCTATAAAGCCAAGAACCTCAATGGCAGAAAAATCATCTGCTCATTTTCAGGCTAATAAATGCAATTAAGTAACAAAGATGAGCCACTCATTAAATGACAGCAGATAGCAAAAGGGAGACTAACCATACTGCA